ACTCTGTTACATACTGTCCAAACAAAAATGGCCTTCCTTCTAAAGTATAACCCACTTAATAGTTTTACCACTAGGCAATTTAATCAAAATCTAGAGTCCCACTTGGAAAAGGCCAATCATATTCAATTAATCCCATTGCAGATTTTCTATATTATATAATATAGGGTAAAGTGCAAATAACCCCCCTGAACTTTACTCTCTTCCACTAAAAACCCCCTTGAACTTTTGTTTTTAAAGTAAACCCCCTGAACTATTTTTTTTTTGCAAAAAAACAAGCGAGGCAACACTATTCATGCCTGTGATTATCACATGACGTAAAAAAAAATTCCAATATGACCGAGTTGCCCTTATTGTTAGGAAAATAAATTAATAAAAGCTCTAACCCTAATTTTTGTTCACAAATAACAATCGTAATCCACTCATTCTCTGCAACCTATTCGAAATTGAGAAGAACTCGAGCAACACACAAAACAATCAAGCTCAAGCTCAAGCTCGCCGGCATCAATGTCGCCTTCTTCAACACCGACCAAGCCCACCGCTCTACCACACCCGCACGTTCACTCCCGTTTCCAAACCGTTTCTAATGGACTCTTGAAAGACCCTTTGGCGATCGATTCATACTTTGATCCTTTGGAAGCCGTCACCAAGACACGTCTCTGAGGTTGATCATATCAGTTCTGACATTGGAGAGCCGGTCATGTGCATCATAGAGGATGGGATCTTTGATTTCTATCTTAACTCTACCCAAAAAAAAAAAAAAAAGGTGGGTTAATTTGCTCCGCCATCTTCGTCTTTCTAGTTCGAATCCTCACCATTGCCATGAATTTTCATCGAGGATATAGGTGGTGGCTCAAGCTACCATTGACGATTGGGAAAAAAAAAAAAGAAAAAAAAAAAAAAAGGAAGTGGCTGCCAAGGACGATGGAAGTGGGTTTACAGAGGCACGCCCCAATTTTACCCCTTGTTACCATTAAAGAGAAATCTATACAAAAACCCCCAAATTATTGTGCAGTTGTTTTTTGAATTGATGTTAAGTGGGTTCCCTGTTTTGGTTTTTTTTTTTTTTTTTTTTCGTTAATGTGTGGGGGTAGTTAGGTGAATAATGCAGTGTATATGTAGCAGTGTATTGGGCTTGCTTATGTATGGGAGGTTTTTGATTCTGTTTTAGTAGAATTAATGTTGTAATGACCATATAATGGAAAAAAAGATTCATTTTTTTGTTGTCAATCAGTGAAATTTTCCTGCAATTCTATCAAGTTGTTGTATAACTTGTATGATTGCTTTTGTTGCTTAATACGCCAAAGACTGTATTTGTTGGTTGCACCAAAGAACATTGTCACTCACATTGCAAACATACACATATTCCATCATAATAGGCATAAAACTGACCACCAAAACATATTTGCCATATTAACATTCTAAAGGAAGGTTGCATATAAGGTTTAATACAAATACATTACAGTACCAAATTACTTCATAATTACTACAAATAAAATGCCAGAAGGCTGCACCGCAGCAAATTTCTCAGAATAAAAGATCATGGCAACAAAAACATTGCATCACAGCAACCCACAGCAACCTAAATATTGCATCAGAGTAACCAAAAAATGTGACTACCAACCAACAACTCCCATTATCACCAAGCAGCATAATCACTTGCATCATCATTCATCAATGACTTGCAAAGATATAAATAATATTATTTTTCTCATATTGTCAATGCATGTTTAAACAGGAAATGGAAACTGAGATAGTCGCTATACTTTGATGATGATGCCTGTGTGTTAAGCAACTGAGATAATGGAATGTTATGAACCTGCAAAGACAAATAAAAGTCTAAGTTGAAATTTTATTTCTTTCAACTACTCTCCTTAATTGTGTTATTTTTATAGATTTTTTAAAATATTATAGAGCAAACAGTTGGCATACCCCCTAAATAAATAGGTACCATTTATAGTACAGAGCTATATCAGGCTAATAAACCATCAAATACAAAATTAGAGAAAAAATTCATCATTTACATTATTTACCTCTTGAGACTGCCTTGCCTGCACTGAATTCCCACCCCATAGCTGCACTGTATACCCACCATCACCACCCCTTGGCCATATTACATTACAACCCCTTCCCTACACAACTGAACCACCAGCCCTTGACTGCATTGAACTACCACCTATTCCCTGAACTGCTGAACCAGTACCTCTTCCCTGCACTGTTGAACCACCACCTCTTCCCTAAACTGCTAAACCACTACCTCTTCCCTGAACTGCTAAACCAGTACCTCTTTCCTGCACTACTGAACCAGCACCCCTTCTATGCACTGAAACACCACCCCTTCTATGCATTGAAACACCACCTTTAGACTACATTGATACATGTGAATCACCATATTAGGAAAAACAAATGTTTGTAACTTGCTAAAACAGATTGTTATATATTGTTAGCACTAAAAAATAGTTAATTCAACTAGAAAAACGAAAATAGCGAATTCTAGGTTTATATTAAGCAAGATATTTACCTCTTGAGATTGACTTTGATGCACGTGCATCTAAACCACCCCTAGCACCCCTTGCACCCCTTCCACTCCTGCCATATGCCCTTCCAGCCCCTCCTCTATTAGTTAATGGTGGTCTTCCTCCCCTTCTTGGCAGAAGTTTCTCAACCACTATTGGTTCCAAGGCTGTTCATGTTCTTGTGTTGTGCCCATAATTATTGCATCTTGAACATTGCAAAGCTGGTCTTGACTTGCTTAATGTTGTTGAACTACTTGCCTCATCAATTTTTTTGTCCTTTGGCTCATCGTTTTTTTTGTTCTTTGCCTCATCATTTTTTTTGTTCCTTGCCTTTTTTGGTCTACTAGTTGGTTTCCTATAGGTTGGAGGCTGCAATGGGTCTATAGGTTTTGAATTTAATAGCCTACTCATAGGAATGGGATAAATCAAGTTTGCATAGGCCTTCAAATAAGTGTCTCTATGATAATATGGATCAACATATATCTCTGGCAGCTCCCTCCTTGCAAATATGCATTCTATAGCATGATTGCAAGGGATACCACTAACTTCCCATATCCTACAAGTGCATGTGTTCTGCGAAATGTCCACTAATTCCTCTGCAATCCACTTCATATTTGTCCTCACCGGCATAATGAACTTTACAAAATCTTGCACTATTTTTCCTCTTGATCATCTCCTTCTGAATGTTTGGACATAACAACCCACTCTTTGAATTCATGAACTCCCTCTTACTTTGAAACCTCAACATGAGATGCTTTCTAATCCATTCCAACATGTACAAAATAGGCTTGTCTCTTGCCGGAAGAATGACTGCATTCCAGGATTCACACATGTTGTTTATCACTAAGGTAGTTTTTGACTGACAACCAAAACTGGACCTTGTCCATACCCTTGGTGGCACTTTTCTCAGCCACTCATAAGCTTTAGCATCCATCTGTTTGATATTGTTCATAAGCAATTGAAAATCATCTTCTGTGTAGGATTGAGCTACTTCCTAAACCTCAATTTTCAGATTTTGTCCCCTATATTTTAGTTTGAAATTTTCATAGAGGTGTCTGACACAAAATCTATGTTCAACCCCATACAGAATGGTGTCAAAACTATCAACCAATCCCTGAAATAAAATGAAAATTACAAATTAAATATAACTACAAATCAATACTAAGGAATGGACCGGTAAAGTGCAAAATCGAACATAAATACAACTACTATCTTACAGAACTGAAATTAAAGTAATAATAAAATTAAAATGAAATAAAACTATTTACTTGTACTGCTTAAAAAACTAAAATTAAATTAAATTTCAAATCTGAATGAATTAAAACTACTAATTTAAAACACTGAAAGGAACCAGTAAATTAGAAAAGTAAACACAAATAAAACTATTGATTAGAACTGAAACATATTAATAATTTGAAACTCTTAAAATATTCATGCTATACTAGCTAAAAGCTGAAGCGCTGTAGAATCCGAAGTTCCACCTAATAGCCAGAAATGAAAATATCAACAATGTCTTGTTGCTATGGCGTCCATATCGGTGTATCTTACCTCCAATCCGAGTTGAAAGCTTTATAAAAGAGTAAAATATGAAGTAAAATGCTAGAAAATAATATGAGTCCTTATGTTTAAAAATATTTGGCTGTAGTGGCCTTGAAAAGTAATGTATATAGTTGTTATGGGCCTTATGGTCGTGAATTTTTTTGCACTAATAATTGGTGCATAATGGACTCATATGTTTCTGCATTCCTCTAGTTTCATCTTATTTTGGAAGTTCAAATGAAGTTTTCAAGAAATTTATTTAATTTACAAAAAATGTCTTATGTTCTAAAGCTTGGTTGATTATCTTAGTGAGGCCATTTGTTATTGAAGGTGTATAATTATTGGAGTCTAGCTTGTGTAGGCTTTTAAATTAGCTTGAAAGAGAACTAAATTTTGAGCTGCTTTTATGCTTACTGCTGGTGTCAGGCACCTATGGTTTCAGGCTTGTGATCACCATAAAAGCACTCTAGAAGGAACTAGTAATTATAAAACGAAAATGAAATAAAACTATTTACTTGTACTGCTTAAAAAACTAAAATTAAATTAAATTTCAAATCTGAATGAATTAAAACTACTAATTTAAAACACTGAAAGGAACCAGTAAATTAGAAAAGTAAACATAAATAAAACTATTGATTAGAACTGCAACTCAAGTAAATTGTAAAACAAAAATGAAATAAAATTAATTACTTGTACCAACTTATAACATCTAAAATTTAAGTAAATTGTAAATCCGAAATGAATTAAAACTACTAATTTAAAACACTGAAAGGAACCAATAAAGTAGAAAAGTAAAGATAAATAAAACTATTGATTAAAAGAACTGAAATTGAGGTAAAGTTTAAAATAGAAATGAAATAAAATTATAAAGATACTTACTTTTTGTCTATCTAACATGAAGGTGATGTCAAAGTGAGGTCCCACAACCTCCATTAACTCTCTCATGAACTAAGCCCATGAGTCTTTTGTTTCAGCCTTTACAACAGCAAATGCAACAGGGTACATTTGGTCATTCCCATCACATGCCACAGCAGACAGAAGATGACCACCATATGCTCTCTTTAGAAAGCACCCATCAACTCCAAGGAATGGCCTACAACCGTTTCTAAATCCCTTCTTCATTGCAGCATAACAAATAAAAATCCTTTCGAAGGTTTTTATTTCATTATCATAAGACATGAGATCAACACCAATTGTAGCACGACTTCCTGGATTGGTGCTTTGGATCAATGCACAGTAATCCTTCAACTTTGAATATTGTTCAGCCTCATCTCCCTCAATAATGCCTAATGCCCTTTTCTTTGCCCTACGCGCTTTGTATGTAGACACATCAAGGTCTAACTCAGCTGCAATAGTACTTTGAAGTGCCACATGGCCCATGGTTGGGTTTAATCTCACTTGCTCCAAGTACTTGTTTGCTAGATAAGAAGATATGGCTTGCTTACTACTATGAGTCCACAAGCAACTGTTATGCTCTATGGTGAATGTCTTGATTCTTAAACACTGCTCATTACTTGGTTTACTTGCATGTATTCTCCAGCCACAACCTTGCTTGCACACTGCAGTCACTCTATCACCATCATTTCTTGTTAATTTAATATCCAACTTTTCCTTGATTACATAATCCCTAAGTGCAAGCCTAAAATCTACAACTGATGCAAACCTCATGCCAATTTCAATTTGTTTAATACTCAAATCCCTTGAAGGCAGGAATTCTTGGTTGTTAGGGATAGGTTGAAGTACACTACTATTATTCTCATCATCATCTGAACCAGGCAAGCTTCTCAACTCATCACTAGGACCATATGTAGACTCCACTTCAGTAAAGTCCAAATATGTTTCATCTAACTCATCATCAGACTCCACTTCAGCAAAATCCATATATGTTTCATCAATCTGATCAACATCAATTGTAGACTCAACAACCTTCTCTTTTCCTTTACCTACATGGTTCTCATTTGTTTATTCAAAAGGCTCGTCAAGGTATATATCCATGTGCAATAATACATGATTAATTAATGATTAAAAAAGTTAAATATGGTGGTAGTGTCAAGCTAAAGTGATAAACAATAGGAATAATGCACATTCAAAAAATAGAAAAAATACATAATTTTCATGTTTTAATATAAAGTAAGAGAGAGAGAGAGAGAGAGAGAGAAAGAATATGTTCAGTATTCATGCTTGTCAACCAAACACATACAAAAAAGGACCTTTTCTATAACATAATCAATAAGAAAGGGACCACTCAACAAAATATATACAAACACATACAAAAAGGGTGTTTTCCTAGAACATAATCAATAAAAAAAGGACAACTCAACAACCAATTTCAATGGACAAAGACTCTGCAATAATAGATGGAACATTACTTCGATCTTTAAATAGCAGAAAGGACCACAAACATGCACAGTCAACAAAATCTAACATATCCAGACAAAAACAATGTTATCAGAGACAAGAAACAATATTAATATTCCCTATCAAAGGGACAACACATTACCACACACTGACATCTACTACTTTTTACTTACAAACAAAACTACAACAGCATAAAATGCTCGTCACAACTACTGTGAACCACATATCTTCATATCATTACCATAAAGAAATTTGTAATACCCCAATATTTTAAAGGTATTATTTATTGGGATTAATGATTTTATTTTTTATTTAAAATAATTTGTTTGATTTATTTAGGATTAATCGCTTTTATTTTTATTTTTAAATGATTTGTTTTAGTTAATTGAGTGTTATGATTTAATGGTCTTGTTTGTATTAACTTATATTTCATGATTATGTATGATGATTGATTGTTTGTGTGCGTAATTATTGATTTAATTATTGACGTGTTAATTTAATTAGTATGGTGTAAATTCTTTTTTGGTTATGTGTTTCATGGAATTAGTTATTTTAATATAAGTGTTTATTTAATTATTTTATTTATTTAGATTAATTGGTTTGGGCTTAAGGGAAGTTGGACCAAAGGATATGGTCATGGGCTGGAATGAAACCTTATTAGGTTAATTAATAAAGGCCCATAGTTATTTTATTATTTAAATGATCAGTTTTGGTATAATTATAAATATATATATATTTAATTATATATAAAAATATAATTAATTAATAAGTTTTCAGAAGGATATATATATTTATGGATATATATATATATATATATATATATATATGTATGATATATGATTTAATTAACCAATGATTAATTATGGGAGATATATATATATGTATTTGTAATATAATATGTGTTTATATATATTATATTATTTAAAGAGTATTATTTATATTATTTTATTATTTTTGGTAGTCCTACTAGGAATAGGATTTAGGTTTTAATGTGTATAAATATACACATAAGGATTTAGAGTTAAAGGTTTACACACGTTAGAAAAATAAGAGAGAGAAAGATAGAGAGATAAGGAGAAGGCCGACAAAGAGGAGGCCGAATCTGCGAAGGAGGACGTTCAGATTGGAAGAGATGATCAAAGCTTAAAGCATTGGTTTCGTTTCGAAACCTTCAAGCAAGTTCTTTTCTAACTCTCCTCTTAGGACCCATAAGTTTATCACCTTGAGTATCAGAATTTTAAATTAAATTTATTAATTAAATCATAGTTAGATAGGAATAATTAAAAAAAAAAAACATAAATTATTATATTTGATTTGTGGATTTATCGAATTTTAATTGTGTATATAGGTGTTATTTATATATTTTAGAATTAATCTATAGGTGGATCTGTGATCCAGGAGGATTTATTAGGGTTTCATTATTTTTCTGGAATGTTCCTGTAATTTTCTGGAATTTTTATGACATTTTTAGGAATTTATTTTCCAATTATTTGTTTGGTAAATTATATATATATATATATATATATATGTATACGTATATATATGTATGTATTCTGTATTTATATATACTGGGAGGGTGTGTTTCGGAGGATCAGAAGGGGCTTCTGATTCAGTGCAGCGCGGCATAGCATAGGTTGGTGTGCGTGTGAATCAAAGCCATTAACAAAATGGATTGATTCAATGTAGTGCGGCGCATGGAGTTTTGGTGCGCCTCAGGTCAGAGACCATTGGATGAGGTTTGATCAAAGAAAGGGATCTAGTGTGGCGCGGATCACAGGGATATGGTACGCGCAAGAATTGAATGGCTGAGACGTGCTGATGGGGAGCGGCTAATCTAGTGCAGGTGAGAGGAGAGTAGCCAACCAGAGTGTGCCACATCAGCAAGGAGGAGAAGCTGGCGCCTGGTAGCGCGTGTGAGCGCGTGAAGCCACCTGCCAGTATAGTGAAGCGCATGGAAGCGCGTGCAAATAAATTGGGTGCGTGTGGAGGCGCATGAAGGCGCGTGGAGAAGCGTGCAGGGTCCTGGAAAGTTCCTGTGCAATCCGGTGATGTCCCAGAATCAATTTTAAGCTTGTTAGGGTTGAAATTAACTATTAGAGGGTGTGTTCTTGGTATTTGGAGAGCCTTAGAGTGTTACTAAGATGTTTAGTAGCGTTTAATTGGCGGAAATATAATTAATTGAATATTTTGCCATGGAAGGAGGTGTACACACACACACACTTACACACATATATATATTTATATATACATATATATATGATTTTAAATAATCAAATATTATTAAGGAAGGTGTTATACATATATATATTAAATAATATATGTGTATATGCATATAGTAGGTAAGATGGTTAGTATTACCATTCTTATTTTGTTGTCTTTTGATTGGCTCGTTATTAAATTAACGATATGTATATAATATGCATAAGATGGCTATGTATGAATTAGCTTGTTGTCAAGTTGAAAGTTAATACATGGTGGAATTGTAGCATGGATGAGTTGTCAGAGGCGTAAACATATTGTCTAAGTATTTGTATAAATAAAATACATACATGGGAAGCATGGATGAGTTGCTAATTAAAAGTATAAATGAATACTTATGGAGGCATGGTTGAATTGCCAATATATAACTAAACATACTTAAGGAGGCATGGTTAAGTTACCGATATATAAATAAATATATTTATAATGGCATAACTGATTTGCCAAAGTTTAATTATATTGTTGTGTGTTAGATGATTAAAATATATCATCTATGATTACTGTTTGTGTAAGTTGGATTAAGATTAGATATTCTTAGAGTCGAATAGTCTAGTACTTACAGGTTAGTACAAATTAATAAAATAATACTGGTAGTGACATGGATGATTTGTCAAAGTTTAGATATTGACTGTGTGATTTAAATACTTAAAATTATTATTGGTTTTGGAATTAAATATAATGTTCTTTTAATTATATTTTATGGTTTAAATTATTAAATTGCTGTCTGGGATAGAGTTAAGGTTAGAGGAGTTTCTTTAAAAGAAATTGTGGATTTGACTAAGTATGATTATTAATTAATTATTGATAATGGTTCTGGAATTAATGAACTTGGTAATAGTTGTGATAGTTATATTATATATAATTATGTACATTAAAGATAAAGAATTTATTAGGTTTGGTTTTGATCAGAGATGATCTATTTATTGGTTTTCAGAGGTCCGGTAGAGAGAACTTGCTCGTAGGGTTTAACCCACGATTTATTTTTTTCAGGTTGTTAGAAGTTCAAGTCTAAAGGTTAAGGATCCGCAGTTAGAGGACTTATCCATTCTTTCTTCTTATTTCAATGTAGGATATTATTATTGTTTCAGTTGATACTAGTATTTATTTTCTGGAATTCTAAATAGTATCTTTTGGTTAAGGGGTCCTTGAGTTTCGGGATTCCCGAGTTGTAACCATTAGGGAGTTATTAATGGATTTACTATTAATTAGTTTTTCTTCAGCGTTTTATTTTATTCTTTTATTTCATTTTGTACTCTGTGCTTGTTAAATACTTTAATTATCTTGATATCTCCTGATTTTGTGCGCAGACTTGATCAACCCGTGTTCCGAAATTAGGGGGTATCACAAAATTAAAGAAAGAGAAAGATTTAGTGAACAAACTCACAAACAATACTACAAAAACCAACATCTGAACCATATTTATTTCAACACAAAAATCAAACATCTGACTATTAACAATCTTCTCTGAACCAAATATTCAAGGTAAGAAACAAAATATCAAATCTTTTGTAGAGAGAGCTTCGATTACATACCACACAAACAATATTACAATTATTTAGTTTTTTAAGATTTACCTTGGTAGAAGAAAGCCTGATTTGTGTCCGTACAATTGGTATGTTGCAATGGAACTACCTAGGGTTTCAAAGCTTCAAGTTTCAGAGTGATTTAGCACCGACATAGTGGAGGGATTTTGGCGCTAAAATAAGGAATGTTTGGCGCTAAATTGTGTGGACTGAGTCAACCAATAAAGTGATGGGCAAATGTTGAGATAAGGTGTTGTGTGGACTGTGTTGTGTTGTCATGATTTTGCTAAAGGGTAAACTAGTCATCTAATGTTTCTGCCGAGTTTCGGTGCCGGCCATAGTTAGTTTGTCCTTATTTTGTAGATTTTAAATAGTTCAAGGGGGCATTACGTAGTTCAGGGGGGTTTTGTACATTTAGCTGAAAGTTCAGGGGGGTTATATGCACTTTACCCTATAATATATTCTACAATTCCTTGACGTGGACCCATAAAAATTTTAAATTTTAAAAATAAAATACTACTTCAATTGCATCTCTTTTCTCATACCTTTCCTTGTAATTCTAAAATTAATCAAACTTGTTATTATCTTTTATTCTTCTAAACTTTTTACTTACTCTGTGTCTATTGTTGTGGAAAATTTAAAAGTGAGTTTTGTAGTTGAAAATTCATCAAATTATCAAAAGGAACCAGATGAAATAAGCCTAAGAATGAAAAAATAATTGGGTAATAGCAATGCTAATTTCACCCCCGGCAACCACATCATTTTTTAACTATTTTTTTAAAAACATAGCTGAAACGGTAAGACTGGCATACATTATCTGAACTTTTCAAGGTTTGCTGTTGTTTTGCCAAAAATTTCATGGGACCTTAGAAATTCAGTTGGAAGCTCAAAAACTTCGCCTTGGACCTCGAGTTGTATTTAGCTGGCCTGCCAATTAACAGGAGGTCATTTATGTAAAAATCATTTGATTAAATAAACATAAACTTCACTGATTGTGGCCCTATCCAAGGGACTTGTCTACATGATGCCTTATCCAACTCGCCACGCTTGGGGGTGGTCCAAAGCGCTAAGAGCAGACATCACCAAGCCTAAGCGCCTAGGTAACTCGAGTGTCCCAGTACTTCAACTAAATTGGTCAGTTGTACTAATAGCTCTACAACATTTTCTTTCATGAGACACAAAAATATTGAGAAATAAAGTTTAACACATTATAAACAACAAAAGAAGAACATCCAGCAGAAGGAACCCTCTCTCCTCCTTGCGCGTAAACCATATTTCAGAAATCTACTGTCCAAACACTTCTTAGACTTGAGTGAGTCCATAAGTAAAAAAAAAAAAAAAAAAAAAATCTTAATTTGGAGACATTTCAGATAAGTGGCTGATACTTATTGAATGCTTGAGATATGACTTTCTTTTGGCGTGAAAAAAGCAATTTGTAAAGAAAAATTAAACTAATTTCTAAATAAAAATAAAATAAAGGTTTATACAAATCTTGTTAAAAAGTTCGACCACGTATTCTTTATAGCAAAATTTGATAAAAGAAGGTTTTATTAAAGAAGTGGATGTGGACATGTGAGACTAAAACTCGTCATAGCTGTGTATCTGTGCAAAAACTTATACGTACATACATAAACATATGCATGCACATATATACCCTTGTTAAGTCATTGTCCATGAGACATGATTAAATTTCATGTACAGTCCCAAAATATTAGATTAATTTAGCATAATGTAATTTTTCCATATATAATACAATTCTACATAAAAGTACGATAGTATATTGCTATATCCATCATGACCAAGTTTGGTGTCGGTGTTCATGCTTCATATAGTAAGACTAAATTTGTTGTTTTAAGTACCTGCGCAAAGGTTTCCAACTCTTTCCGAGTTTCTGAAAATTCTTTCCTCACCAACTTATCGCTTGGGAGAATCTGAAATGATGATATTTCCCACAAAAGAAGAAAACCGAATATATTTTAAAAATGTAAAGAGTTGCATAGAAAGAAGTATAATTATGAAAGAAGAGAACAGAGAAAAAAATAATGGCATGTTCTTGTAAAATAAAAGGCAAATACTTGATTCATGTAAGATCTGGATAACATTGTTAAATCACAAGTGAAAAAAAGAAGAAAAAGAAGAAAAAATATATGAATAAGAAACACGTGATGGAAACAATCATATATTCTTTGACATGGTGGACGGGATCCATCAGGAATCAAAATGTGTTTTCTTTGAGATCTGCAAAGGCAACATGACTTAAATATATATTATATTAGCCAAATTCAAACTGAAATTTGAATTATAAACCCCGCCAACCTTGTTAGACATCACATGTAAATTTCTGATTGGTTTGATCTACAGTGTCAACACAATGATGTAGTCGAACTGGAACATATAATAGTGTCCCTTTAAAACTAGATCCACAGAGATTAAAATGAATACAGATGGTATTGTATCCACATAGCTATAATGGAATCGGTCAAAAGTTGATTTGCAGAACTATTTGTTACAAGAAAATCAAATTTATTAGGAGTTAGTGTCATTTTATTTTGGCAATTTTAGTGTCAAAAAAGCTTTGAGCCCAAATTTTCCATTTAATTTAAGTCATTAGTAATTTGAAGTTTGTTCGTAAGAGGAGCAAATGGTTGTAGGTCATCAAAGTAGAAGACATTTATAGGACCATGTACGTTTCCATATCTCACACAACAAGATCATGATAAAATTTGCAGTTAGATGACTTGACCCTCAAATATTTTGTTTGGGAATGTTCATATATGTTTTTAAAATTTCTGAATTTGTTTTACAAATAGTTTAAAATGTTTTTGAGCAAGTTAAAAAAAAAATGTTTCTGAGATTAACTACATATTGCCAATCATTACTCAAAAAGAAATGAACAACTATAAAAAGCCAATCAAGCAAAAGTGGGAGTTGGTAAAGGGAAAAACAAAGTATTGCTCCAGTCCAGATCCCAAAAGAATACTTATTAATTCTTCACAATAGTGGTTTTTATATTTGGACCAGTAATTCTGATTCATGGACAAAATCGTCCCACCCTTTTCTCAGCACATTGCTGATACAAAGCAATCTCATCTTGACAAAATGGCTCAATGTCATTGATTTGCAAGCGTAAAATATAAAACCAAAATTTAAAAAGGAAAAATAAACATTATCGAAGGAAAAGTTGATACACAAAAAAGAAGGGGAAAGGAGCAAGACTTACACAAAAATAGATTCCTCAAGATCCCATCACACAAATCTACCCCTTCAAGCACATGAGATGCAATCTCTGGTGGAATGATCGGCGATGGTGGCCACATCATTAGATCATCACCAACCAAAAATAGTTTCCTCCATAGTTGGCTGTGAATCAACTAAAGTATTCCCAAAAGGTAACAACTTGTAAGTACAATTTCCTCATCAGTTCAAACTCTCTGTATTAGTTCAAGCAAGCTACAAGATTTTCAAGAGTTTTAAGCATGCAAAGGTATGAGCTGAGGCACTGGCATCTCAAAACATAGAGCTGGAAGCCTCAATACAAGAGTCTAAAGTCTAATTAAATAAGACCTTTTATGCAATTTGAATTTAATGGATAACGAAAAGAAGTCAACAAATACCATATTATGGGTATTTGACTCTAAATCTTCAAAACAATTAATAAATATTGCTGATGTGAAAGAAAAGAGACCGTTGCTTAGAGAAGTGATAAAAGCTCGATCTATGAAGTTTACATTTATAATAAGGCAAAAACCCGAGTTTGGTTAGAGATTGAGTCAATCTAGAAGGAGAGCCTAAGCATGAAATTATACAGGTGAAAAGCCAAACGTTAAGAATTTTCTTGCATTTTTACAAATACAATTTGACCTCACTTTATTTTTGTGTTTAAATTTGTTATTATAATGTTCCCAAATATTTCGCTAAATGAAATAATCAAAAACCTAAGGACAATACATAAGCATCACCACATTAGGTCAAGTAATATGGGAATCAGTTTTAATTAAAATAAATCCTGTGTGAAGAGATGCTTCAATGCCAAAAGCTTGCTTAGTTGTGTAGTAACTAAACAGTGTGACATTTGAAGAATACACACACAAGCACACACAAATCTTTTTTTTTCTTTTTCAAATTAATTTGAATATTTCAAGTAATAATGTCTCCTATATTCTGTGTGCTAATAAAATGATAATGATTAAGCATCTGACTCACAAATCATTAACAACATTACCAAAGGCAATTTAGGTCTGATTCAAAATCATATAATTATTAACTTGTTTTGCACTTTATTGTCCCAAATCTCAAATAGTAAAAAGCTCAACAACGTGGATAGAAAAACAATCTCAACAATATAATTTAGTTGCTTGTTGCAAGGGCTTCAACAAAACTTTGAAAAAAAATACAAATTAGTTAGCGTTTTGGAAATACTTTCCTTTCTACTAGCAGTAAAAAAATCAAACCAGTTTTTCTTTAACGTTCAGAAACCAGAAAATAAATAAAAAAAGGTATTTTCCTTGAAATAGGATCTACACACATATCACATACCATCCATGATTGCTTTCTGGTTCTCCGATCAAGCTTCCGCTACAAAATCCCGTATTCAATTGAGCGCTACAAAGAGCGATTCAAAAACTGAAGTGAGAACCAGAGTATCAATAAAATGAAAGAAAACACAAGTGCAGACACACACTCACATACACGTATACTTTGGGTGTGTATCACATATATAAAAGAGAGAGTGTGTGTTATACCAGCGACGATGTGTGATTCCGTCAGAGATGTTTGAGTATACTGTAGGACACGAAATGGAATGGAGGATTCTGGAGTAAACCTTTGTCCTAATGTTAGGGTTTAGGGTCAAATTCTTACCCCGAATCCTGCTTCGAATATGATCTTATAAACAAAATTCATTTACCATGCAAATCCGAACCCGAAATCCTGAATAAAAATCAGTCCAAATCATGAATGCGAACAAATTTAGGGTTTGGGTGAGTTACATAGAAAAGACTAGGGTTTAAGTAAACTCGTGTGTCTGGAATATAATATATAATATAGAGAGAGCGCGCTAGAGAGAAGCCAGAAATTACAGAAGAACGAGTGAGAGACAGAATGGCAGTTAGCGGTCCACCAAAATTAGGAATGAAATAATTTACCCTAGTCATTTTTTCATCTTCAAAGGTAAAATATTTTATTTTTTTTTATTTTTTTTATAAGTAATGCTAAAATAAAAATAAAATAATCGATTTCATATGTTTAAAAAAACATATAGAATGCCTCAATCAATAAGGTGTTTATCTCTGTTATGGAATGCCTCAATGGTCGCATCAGTGAGTCAGTGACTCGGTGCATAACAAATAATCACTGTCAGGTTTATCATTTTATTTTTTAATTCAAAAAGACAGCCAAATATTAAAAAAATATAGTTAATAAAAATATTTTTCTAATAAGTTCTACAATTAATTATGAAATCATCATTTGAGGGTTAAACATGGAAACAATCTCACTGAATATGAATATAAGGTTGCGTATATGTGAACCTCCCAGCAGTATACTAATCTAAATCAAAGCACCCCACTACTCTCGTGAACTATTCATTTTCTTTGAAAAAATCTGAATTTTCCAATACAATTATGTAGGTAGAAGCATGTTCCGTCAAGTTGAACAAATAGAATGCATCATGTAATGCATTCACTCGGACAATACTTAGGTCCTTATTAATAAAAATGTAGAGCCCTTCCCACATTGTACTAATCTGAATCAAAGTACCCCACTACTCTTAGTGAATTATTCAACTTCTTTGGAAAAATATGAATTTCCCAATTCAATTATGTAGGTAAAACATGTTCCATCCAGTTGAACAAATGGAATGCATCATGTAATGCATTTACTCCGACAATACTTAGGTTAGGTCCTTATTAGTAAATGTATATTGTCCTCACCACTAATGTGGACCAATAAAAAATAGACATAATTTCTTTTATTACCAAATCAGAGATAGTTTATGTAACCAACATCTTTGATTTAGTAAGTAAGTATGTATCTTATCATAACTGATTTGGTAACTAAAGAAGACGTATACATTTATTATACATCTAGTAAAGATGATATACATTTTTACGTTTAAGGACTTAAGTAAGTATTGTCCTTTTCCAAATAATTTTATCAATAATTTACTATAAAAATATATTTAACAAATATTGTAGAAACTTGGTGGACTGTAATTGAATTTTAAAGAAGTTGCATAGTTCACCAATGAAGTAATAAAAAATAAACATAATTTCTTTTATTACCAAATCAGAAATAGTATATGTAACCAACATTTTTGATTTAGTAAGTATGTATCTTATCATAACTGATTTGGTAACTAAAGAAGACGTATACATTTGTTATACATCAAATAAAGATGATATACATTCTTACAGGACTTAAGTAATTATTGTCCTTTTCCAAATAATTTTATCAATAATTTACTATAAAAATATATTTAAAATATACTGTAGAAACTTGGTGGACCGTAATTGAATTTTATAGAAGTTGCATAGTTCACCAATGAAGTAATCCCCATTTAGATTAGAACCTTTATGAACAGAAATTGGGACCCTTAATTTGGAGAAGCCATCTTTTGTTCCAGTCAAAATCCTGTTTTCAGGGAGATAGGACCATGTGGTGTGAATGTGATCCACTCTTGATCTAATGGTGGAGGACACCCTGCAATAGCTTTGAGCAAGGTTGTTAAAATCGGGATTCTACGCAGAATCATTTTGGTCTCCGTATAATCGAAATCGTAGAATTGGATCGTGAATCGTAAGATTTTACCAAATTGTGAAAAAATAATTGAAACTAACTTTTTAAACAACAAGATCTATAAAATATAACAAAAATAAGCCCAAAACAGACAATCAAATATATCTAACCTCAACATAGCCTATCAAGAATGAAATTTGACATTTAAGAGATATTTTTTACATTAAATTAACTCCTATATTATATTAGTAATTATATTTAGATTTATAATATTTTGAAAACTAAATTAATTATATATATATAATTTTTTATTTTTTTTATTGTATCTTATATATACTTGTTACGGAATATTTATTTAATATTACCATCCAAAAAAAATATTTATTTAATATTTAATACTTTCTAGACTTTTCTGGGTCAAAGTCTGTAAAGGAAGGGCAGATCACGGTGGTCTCTTTCGCACGTGACATCTGAATAATCCTCCGTCAGTATCTATCTTTGCTTTCAAAGTCTGTGAAGGAAGAGGAACGATAAAGAAGAGGGGTGCAGCGACAAAGAAGATGGAATCAGCGACACGAGCGGCGACTAGAGAGGAGCGATCAGTGACCTGCGAGCAACGACCGATGAAGCAGCGACCGACGAAGACCAGCAACTGACGATCAACGATGAAGTTACCATGTTTTGCCTATTTATGTGATTTTAATCTGATTTCTGTGAATATCCAGTGAATTCCCCTCTTTTTTTCACCTATAGTATAGTCGGAGTGATGAAACCTTTAGGATTCATGATTGAATAACAATCTTTGCTGGTGTGTATTATGAAATTGGGGTTAGTCTTTGACAAATTGGGGTTACTCTTTGACAATGTATTATGAAATTTGTAGAATCGATAGAATCCTGTATAATCGTACGATTCTTCGATTATATCTCCGATTCTACCAATTCTACACCCGATTCTACCAATTGAACGATTTTATTACGATTTGAATCGATTTTGGATTTTGAATCATAGAATCGTGCGATTCTACGACTCAGAATCGCGATTTTGATAACCATAGCTTTTGAGTTGAAAAGGCAGAAACGTATATGCCTAGTGTAACTTAACTCTAGTAACTAAAGTATTGATGTAATTATGCCCAAATCTAACCCAGACGCACATTTGTATAAAAGTTGTAGGGGTGCGACCATTTTATAACTTAAAATTTATTAGCTGGTGGTCGGCCATTGGGTAACTATGGTCCAGTCGAATCAAAATTCATATTCAGGTGTCTTTGTAGTATTATTTTAAAAAGAGATAATTACACTTATTTTCTCTGTAGATTGCCTCGCTAGATTGCCTAGTTAAATTGCACTTTTATTAGTTTAACGTAGAGGAGTGTGAAACCGTTGTGGAGACTTTGACCGAATGAATAGGGATCAATTGATAGTATGAACAAAAAAATATTTTCTAGTTTTCTAAGGGGGTTGATTTTAATTACATTTTGAGCATGACAAGAGTGTCAAATTTTATGACATGTGATTGTGAGGTAAGTGTTACTTACAACTCAATGAGAGGAGAGGTCCTATTGTTTAGGCAATCTATAGGGAAGGTAAAATTTGGAGCCGTAGCAAAAATGTGCTGACACTCAACTGGGTGGGAGGGGGTCCGCCCACCGCTAATATTGTTTATATTTTTTTTTTTTGAAAAAAAATTATAAGTTGGAAAAAAAATTAGGAGTGGTAATTCGTATTGGCATATCATAATCGTGTCATGTCAGTCTAAGGGTATTCTACTATACATGCAACTCGAACACGACTTATTTAAGGGATTGACTTTAAAGTGCCCTGTATTATAAAGACCTGGGCTGAATGAATCCCATAAACCTCATCCCTGTATTATAAGGGATTGACATTACTATAAGGGTTTGAGTTAAATGAATTATGTAATCCTCATTCCCGTATTATAAGGGAGTTAATGTACTAAGAGAACATATTGCCCACCTATTGAAGTGCGTCGCCACATGTCAGCATGCCACCTAGCTGCCTTCCCAACATACTACTTGTTTTGGCTGCCATGTGGCAACTGGTAGCTTCCACCTTACCACATGGCAGCGTCCCGCGTTGCAATACCCCTATATTTTTGAGAAATTATTTAATTAAATTAATTGTCTTTAAATGAGTTTATTAGATTTATTTGTTTTAAATAAAATTATTTGTTTATTTATTTTATTTGAATTATTGATATGATGATTGCGTGTGTGTATGTGCTTGATTGTTGATTGACTTGTTAGTGTATTAATTTTATTTGTATGGTATAACTTCATTGTTAATTCTTATTTGTTTATGTTCTACATTTATTTAGTTGTTTTAATATTTAGTGTTTATTTATTTAATTATTTGTTTAAGTTTAGTGGACTGGGTTGGAATGATTGGGACTAAAGCATTTGGTCTTGAGCTAGAAGGGAAAGTCTTAAAGGTTTTGGGATGGTTTATTTCCCGTGGATGTTTGATTTTATATATATATATATATTCTGTAAATTATCTAACTATATATTTATATAGAGATAATTAATTTATATGATTGCATTTATCCGTATGAGTAATAAAGTCAAAGTCATATAAGAACTAAAGTTGGGGGTTATTATATATATATATATATATATGGAAATATACATATACATATACATACATACATATATATATATATATATATAGTAGCATTGTATGGATTAATTATTATATATATTTATTTTATAAAATTTATATATATAATAAGTATATATGTATAAGACTATATGCATATATATGGTAAGTATCAGTTAAAAAGGATTTATAAATATATATCACATAATAAATTTATATTTATATTTATATGTGTCATGTATATTAATATAATTAGCGTCCTACATGGAAGAGGAGTAATTGCCGGTATATAATTAATTATATTTATTATGTAAGGATTATATATATATAAATGATTATATATATATATATAAGTTAGATGAGAGAAAGAGAGGATTTACGTGAAAAAGAAAAGAAAGAGAGAGAGGGAGAGAGAGGCCGAGAAGAGAAGGAAGAATAAGGAAAGGAGAAGAAAAGAAGGGTGGGTGAGCATGGAGCAAGTCGAACCTGTGGAGGATGATGGCAAGGTAGCCGGAGTTGTAGAACAGATCGGATCTGGGAAGCTTGCGATGACGGTTTCGTTTCGAAATTTTTAAGCAAGTTCTTTTCTAATTTTCCTCTTAGAACCCATAAATTATACACCATGGGTATCAGAATCGTA